CACGCAAGGGCCCCCGGGCTTCAGTCACCCCCCCAAACCGCGAAACACGGACCCCGGGGTGCGACGGCACAGGCTTCTTTCCGACCCAACCGCACGCCCAGCACCGGGAATCCCGTAACCTGGGTACCGTCAACCGCTCCCCGAAGGGGCAGCAACGTGGCACTCCCAGGCGGAGGAAACCGGCCTGCAGCGGCGGCGAGGCGGACACCTGGCCATGGCGCCCCACGGCAGTTCGACCGCAGGGGGGTGGTTGGCAGTCCCCGTTCCTGAGGTGTCGCCCGCGATGCGGGACCGAATCACCACCAGGCACAGAGAGACTGCCCATCTGGCAGGGAAGAAGTGTGGGAGGGCGACCGTCAGGCCCGGCGTCACGATGGCTCTCGATCCCCAGGGGGACCCCCGCCCTCACCGTTCGACCGGTCCATGACCATCACCCTTCACATATATCCACCGGACACCGTCGGGGCAAAAGTAGCCCATTTATGTTCCCGGGTCCCAAAGTGATTCTGGGGGTCGGTTTTTGTATGGGGTGGTCCGTGCACGTGTGTCGTTTTCCCATACAAAGTGGGCCTCCGGACCAGTCCCAAACTCCCGCACTTTCGATACTTAGTGAAATTCGACCGCGTTTCGACCGGCCAGCAACGCTCGCTCTCCCGACCACGCTCTGCTGCCCGCTCGTCGCATCGGCCGCGAGCCGGTTGTCTGGGGCGGCCGGCCAGTCCGCTTCCCGCTGCTGAAAGGGCATGTCCCGTGTTCCTGGAGGTCCGCGGCCGGGCTGATTTGGGGACCGGCCGGTCGGTCGGCCGCGGTCAGTCAGCGGCCCACCCGCCGCCAACTGGCGAGCTTCTTCGACCAGGGAGGCCGGTCCCCCAAACGTGCCGGCCGGTCACCTGTGGGGGTTCAGACGGTCTGTAGAATGTTCCTGGAGGCCCGTTCCACCCTCAATAGTCCGCGCGGCCGCGTTGGTTTTGGGACCGGCCGGCCGACCGCCAACTGGCGAGCTTCTTCGACCGACCGGCCGGTCCCCCAAACCTCACGGCTGGTGGCAGATTAATGGGTCCTGGGCATCCTCGGGGCTTCTAGAGATGTGTGGGAAAGGTATTGAGCCCCCGCCGTACCGACCCAGATGTCGATCGTGGGGAGAGATATATATCCATCGGTACGTTGACCCCGCCGACCTCGGTCAACCATGTACATATATTCCCACCCCTCGCCATGGGTTGCCCGTCCCCATCCTGATATATATCTCTGAACGGACAACTCATATTGCAAATCCTATCCAGCATCTAGCCAGCCGACTCAAATCCTTACTCCTACTGGGGGGCTGCGCGCATCCCCGGACACCCACCAACGACCCGCAAGGACAGTCCCGGCCTGCCCGACCCCCGCCAACTGGCGAATTCCTTTTCACCTACCCCCACGCCGCTGCGACGGGGCCTCCGGTGGCTGCGGCCGCTCACCAAGACCGGGCCGCCCGCCGCCACCAACTGGCCTGCTGGGGTTAAGGTCCGCAAAGTCCCTCTTACCGCGCGCCGCCTCACGGCAAGGCCGCCATCCGGCGGCATCCGCGTTGATCCCTCTTCGGCCCGCGGCCGCGCCCATCCCCGCCCCATCGCCGCCAACTGGCAACCTCACGCCCACCACCCCCGGCCCCTGGACCCCCAGCCACGGGGATCGCGGGGCCCGGGCGTCCCGCCGCCCGGGAGAGGGCCCACGGCGCACCCGCATCGTGCGCCCGCCCCGGCAGCAGCAACCACGCCGCGGCTCTGCGTTGCAGTGTCCACCGGCCACCCAGCCAGCCCTGCCGCTCGAGGTCCGCGGCGCCGCCCCCCTGCCGTGGATGGCCTGGCGCGCCCTGCGGGTGGCGGACCACCCTTCCCACATATATCTTCCGGACACCGCCAGGGTCGAAAGTGGCACATCTATGTTCCGGGGTCCAAACGTGTCTGGGAGGGGGATGTTTTTGTATGGGGTGGTCTGTGCACGGGTCATTCCCTCCATACAAAGTGGGCCTCCGGGTCAGTCCCAAACTCCCGCACTTTCGACACTTAATGAAATCGAGGCCGCGGCCCGCCGCCAACTGGTGAATATTCTCGAGCGGGGGTCCGGCCCCCCACACGTCGCGGCCGCCCGCTTGCTCCATGCCCATGTCCCAGCCCACCAGTGCGCCAACTGGCATTGTTCGACCGTCACGACCGGCCATCCCCCTATCGCCTCCCCCGCCAACTGGCAAACGCTTCGAGGAGCGGTCCGGTCCCCCACACGTCGCGGCCGGTCACCCGGAAATGCCCAGACGGCATGTGCAGTGGTGTGTTTCCCTGGATGCCCGTCCCGGGCCTGAAAGCCCGCAGCCACCTCGGTTGGCCGCCAACTGGCATTGTTCGACCGTCACGACCGGCCATCCCCCTATCGCCCCTCCCCGCCAACTGGCAAACGTTTTGAGGAGCGGTCCGGCCCCCCCACACGTCCATGCCCATGTTCCAAGCCCACCAGGGCGCCAACTGGCGTTGTTCGACCGTCACGACCGGCCGACCCATCCCTGGTTCCCTGCCACGACGCCAAAGGCCCTTCTTGGCCGTCAGTGCCAACTGGCAAACTGGCAGGACCGACATACGCGCGCACACGCCCATGCCATTTCCCACCACATCACCTCCCGTCCCCTCCAAGCCCTGGCGCTGCCGGACCCATTGATGGGGGAGGTGGTATTCCCACAAATCTAGCCAAGGTCGGGCTGACGCTCAGCGACTCGTAACAACAAGGCTACTTGACCGCTTACACGACCCGCTTGGTCACTTCAGTCGTCTGCAGAGGATTTATCCCCGCGCGCTGTGACATTGCAATCCGCCAGCCAGCCCCCGGGGCTTCTCCCGGAGGGCCGTCGCCAGCCTGCTGAGGTACATGGCCCGGAGGCCTATTCGTATCCGACTACGACGTGCGGGGCATAGAATCGCCGCGTTCCGGCACGGATTCTGACTTAGAGGCGTTCAGCCATTATCCGGCAGATGGTAGCGTCGCGGCACTGCCTGATCAGACAGCCGCAAAAAACCAATTATCTGAATCAACGGTTCCTCTCGTACTAAATTGAATTACCGTTGCGGCGACCTTCATCAGTAGGGTAAAACTAACCTGTCTCTCACGACGGTCTAAACCCAGCTCACGTTCCCTATTAGTGGGTGAACAATCCTAAGTCATATTCTGTACAATGACCCAACTTGGGTCTGGTGGGAAATTAGAATGGGTAGTGACCCTAAAAAGATGGGTCAGAAATTATTTTGACCCATCTTTATCTCAAGAACTAGGCCATATTAGGAAGTCAGACTAGTATCATAGTGATCCTAATCAGGTCTAGTTTCTGCTAGTATAGTTCGATTGATGACATAAGCAGGTTTAAATTAACCCTAAGCCAGATAGGGTAATATGTAGATAGCACTGCTATAGGCTATCTAGTAGGCCAATTGAACTCAGAATTGAATATGCTGATGTCATTGGGGTCTAGAGGGGTCAGGGGACTTTTATTTCCCAATTAGGAAGGTGTATATTCTGACTTGTACTATTCATCAAACGAATCAGGAGCCAAAAAGTCACGTGACCTAAACTGCCTAATTAGGAAGGTGGTTGATCTATAGCTCATTCTCAGGCATTTTATGACAGGATTACAATGAACATAGTCGCACTCCCTGAAGTGGTCTATATAAGGAGATATCACAGTTTGAATATAGGACTTCTATCATAGCAAGATAGAAAATGACTATACTACTATTCTTATACTCTTACTCTAAATTTGTCAGGATGTTAGGCCTATTTTAGTAGTGATACAATAGAATCCTAATCTATAAGGTATAATTACTGCGTATATATTGATATTGCATATATATCTATTTGGATTAGCGTGGCACGTGGATAGGAATACGTCATCCAGCTTCACGTAGATCTCTTCCCTTTTCCCTCCTCTCTCCATGCTTGAAGTTCTTGTCAATAACTGCCTAGATAGTTGAATAGCATCCTATTTATTGTCTAGTTGAGTTCCGTGACAGGGTTATGTGACCTTGAGTTCCCAATTAGGAAGGTAGTCATTTAATAATATAGTAGCTAAGACAATAGCAACTAATAAGAGTATTATAATAAATAAGGTCTTGCATTCTAAGGTGGTTTAGAGAAGGATATATGGAGGTTTAGAGTTAGAAATTCTATTGCAGTGAAGTAGAAAAGGTCTCTTATTAATACACTAATAATATTACTATAGTTTAGACATGGTGGTAGAGGTATTATATACATGAGATAACATATATATATATATCGATATATTAGAAAGAAACCTAAACAACTAGGCAGGGGCATCAGCCTAGAATAAGATGATTTGAAATCAATAAATGGCAGGATTAATAAGATGAGGGATTTTTCAAGATCTGCAATTGCTATGGTGGCGCAGCTAGATAGGGGACACGGCATAGAGTGGGGGGGACGGCACAGAGTGGGGGATCGCTCAGCTGGACTTCAGGAATACCACCTCCCAGAGGATCCTGAGGATCCCAAAATGACACCACCACAAGTATGATATCATCTTTTGAAACTGAAAGAAATTAAATTTACAACATGGAATGTCTCAAGCTCTTCATATTATAATATAAATAGGTGGTTGACATCCCTTGAGGTTGGTCCTCTAGCTAAGTAATATTGGCAATATTTCTTTTCATATTACCTATATCTCCATTGCTATACTGTCTTCAACTTTCTAAACCCTCTACTTATTTTCCTTTTTGATTTACTATTCACTATGGCCACTGAGCTTCCTGATTTTTTTATTTACTACCCTACCTTCCATATCCTTATTTGTAAGGAATGCCATACTGCTCTTCCTAAGAATAAGGCTGTGGAACACCTTAGGAAAGACCATTTGATGACTCAACATCAAGTTATTAACCTTGGCTATCAGGCTATCATTGAGAGGCTTGATATCTTCTCCTCTTACTAGGTCTCTTCACCAAATTCAGAATGACCAGCCAATTGCTCCCATTAAGGGATTGAGCTCTTTTCAAGCTAGGGAATGTAGTGCTTGTGGTGAGCTCTTTCAATCCATGGACAAAGCTAATCGCCATATTACCAAGGCCCATCAGCACCAGAGAGGTCATGCTCAGTATCCTACCATTATAGATACTCTGGCCCAGGCATTGCAGCCAAATCGTTACTTTTTCAAAGTGCGGCTTCCATCTCACCCTCTAGGGGACCATGCTCCTACTAGGGCAGGCACCTCTAGTCCTTCACCAACCCCTGGCCCATCTCAGCCACACTATGCCCACCACGCTAGGTAAGAAAATATGTATCAGGTGCAATATGCACTCACTAACTATTTCCTAGGGTGGTTGAGTCTAGTGACTCTGACATTGAGATGGTCTCTGCCAGGTAAGCATTCCCACTGCTCATTTTGAATATATATCTTGCTGATTCTCACTGTATAGGGATGTCAATACCTCTCTGAGAGCCCCTTCTGCCTTTGGACCCTCTGCCAGTCTTCCTACCAGGTGTGGTCTATATATTTATGTAGATATGTATCCTCTACGCCTTCACTAATATGTATTTCTAGGCCTGGTTCTTCGTCGCAGCCTGACTCTGGCATCACCCCCAGATCTGGTGGATTCCCTGCTCCGTCAGTACCAGGAAATCCAGAAGCCCCAGCCAGAGCAAGCCAAGATCTATCTCTCTGGGTCTAGGGATGAGCTCAATGGATTTCAGCTCCACACCAGGTATCCAGAGTTCCTGCAGCAACGCTCCCTCCCAAAGCTAAGAAATCTCTTCTCTCTATCCCTAGAGCATTCTGGTGAGTTTAATTTCTTTTCTCTGAGGGATACCTCTACCACTCTAACCCATGTTTCTTTTGCCATATATTTTGTATGGGGAAATGAACAACCCTAACAATGCATGTATCCTTGTGTTTGATGTTCAAGAGTATTTAGAGCTTATATCTATATCTATCTACCTATTGATATATATATATATATATATGGCATGCACTAATTTTTTTCATATTTTTCTAGATCGAATCCATGATTTCCTGACTGCCTGCACCACCTATATATTCGCCAAAGGCCAGAAGATCATCCCTCTCCTTTCTCGCCATGTTCGATGCCTTCTCAATAGTTTTGACATTGAGCATGTGACTCTGCGCCCTTTCAAACCCCCTCCAGGAGGCAGCCAGTGCCCAGAAATATGCCCGCGTGCTTCACAGCTTTCTCGTTTTTCTGTTGGAGAGCTATCCCTACCAGGTCACTAGGGGGCCTAGGGATAGGGACCTGAATCGACTCTATGCTATAGATCACATGGTCAAGGCGGGGATTCAGGAGCTCAAGGACCTGCTACTATCCCCCACCCTAGCGGAAGAGGATGAGGAGGCACCAAAGGCCTCAGGCCCCTTGCAGGCAGGCAGTGCCCGTGCCTATATTGGTGATGACCTTGATGGTGAGAATGATGAAGAGGATGAGATCGATCTGGCCCTGGACCTAGGGGGATGATGGTGAGGAAGATCTTGAGGACTCTGGTGTTCTCGAGAAGCTCGAGCGGCAGGCCTGGCAGGCCACCAGTGGTTTTCAATTCACTCAGGCGGCAGTGCACGAAGGGGTGGCTCTCATTGAAAAGCTCCTCATTGACCTGGTCACCAGGCATGAGTCATATGACATGAAGGGCCCTATCTACGCGTTCCTGGCCTGTTTCAGTATTCACTACCAGGAGGTGACCTTCAAGCGAATTGACCGCATCAGCCAGTCCTACTCTGCCGTTATCTACGCCATGCAGCTGGTCGCCATCAACCACCATTGGACCCCATGGATCCGGAGGATCCTTGAAGCGAAAGAGGATGGGCAGGACCAAGCGCTGGCTAATGCGGCCCCATTTCATGCTGTCTTCGGCCCCTGGCTGCAGACCTACTTCAAGCACCAGTCTTTGACTTCAGCCAGCGGTGGCATTCCTATATCGGCATGGGGCCTGATTTCGACTTTTTGAGCTTTCTCTATCAAGGAAGACCGCTGCCTCAGGCCCCCTAGGCCACAGCCAAGACCCCCCAGGGCCTATCTACCAGCTCCTTTCCTCTCAACCAGCCCTGCCTGCGCTTCTGGTGGCAGAGATCTGCCTCTTCACCATCCCCTAAGATCCCTATTGGTCAGTTCAATGCATTCATGGGCTCCACAACCCCCACATTCACTCCAATCGACCCCAATGTCACTGAAGGCATTCCCGATGGTGACCCGCGCCTGGCCGAGCTGGAACCAGGCCAGCGACTGCGACTGCTTGCACACCAGCCATTCCCTCAAACCCCTAGGGGCCTTCAAGCACCAGACCTCCTGCTTGGGCTCTTTCAAGAATTCATGGGAACGCCTCAGGCTGAATTTCGAAGCGCAGAACAGCGTGAGTGCCTCTACCATCTGCTGAAGCCAACCCCATTCCTTCTCATGGCATTACCAACTGCTGGAGGCAAGACCACCCTGTTTCTGCTTGCTGCAAGCCTTGCCTGGGCGCATACTACTGTCCTGGTGGTTCCCCTTGTTTCATTGAAGCTGAACCTGCAATCTAAGCTTCAAAACCTAGGTCTGCCATGGGTGAATTGGGAGGATCAGTAAGTACTATCTATCTATCTATCTATCTTTATATATTTACTAATGCTCTATATAGGCATGAGGAGACCCCTCCTACCCGGCTAGTGCTAGTATCCATTGAGTCTGCTGTCAGCCAGGTCTTCATTAACTGGGCCATGCAGCTCTACCACCAAAACGCCCTGGACCGCATTATTTTTGATGAGGCCCATCTCATCCCCCTGGCCCGCAGCTATCGGGGGGTGATGAATGATGTAAACCGCCTGAGCCAGATCCCAGTCCCCAAAGTCTTTGCCTCGGCCACCATGACCCAGCCTGCCCTGGACCAGCTCCGCCACCAATTCCTCCTGCCAGCCCACCTTCCCCTGGTGGTCCGTGGTGATATCAACCGCCCTGACATTCACTATCTGGTCCAAGCCACCCCCCTAGGCTCTCTGGCGCCCGCCGCTTCCAATATCTTTTGAACCTGATCCGTGATGCACGCCAGGCCGGGCAGATCCCCCTAGGGGTCAGGTGATCATCTACCTTCCCTATAAGGGCATGGTGGAGGAGTTCCATCAGGCCTATCCCCAGGAGACAGCCTATTTCCATGCCAGCATGCCAGAGGAAGACAAGACAAGGCAGGTGGAGAGCTTTGACCAAGGGCAGAAGCTCGTGCTCCTTGGGACAGCTGCCATCGGGGAAGGATATGACTTTGCTCATACTGCCATGGTCATTCACTGGGGGACCAGGTGGGGCATCAGCCAGTTCCTTCAAGCTACAGGGCGTGCGGCGCGGGGTGCTGGGGAGATTGGCTGGTCATATGCCATCATCCCCCCTTGAGCCTGGGCAATTCCCAGAACCAGCAGATCTCGAAGAACAGCTCTTCCACGAGTATCTCCAACAACGGGTGTGCCGGCGGTCCCTGATCAATCGGGAGTTTAATGGTAGGGTCAGCCAGGGGTGTTTTCAGCATGAGAAGGCCTGTGACCTCTGTCAGGTCAGGCAGGAGGAGCTTCACATGGTCTCTGCTAGGGCTAGGGAGGCCCTTGGGGATGGGGAAGGCCTCAGGCTGAAGCTGAAGGCATACATTAAGTTTTTTGAGTATGGTATCTGCCTCTATTGCTTTCTGATGACCCAAAGTAAGTGCTTTCTCCATCTATCTCTTTATATATATATATATACTAATTGCCTTTGTTCCTAGTAAACCCATCCCAGCCAGGAATGGATTATCATCACCATCATCAGCAATGTACTCATGCCCAATCTCTAATTTCCAGCTTCAACAAGCATCGCCACCAGTTCCACTTTGAGCCTCATGGGGGATGCTTTCTCTGCCTACTTCCTACCAGAGCCTGTGGAAATAGCACTAGAGATGGAGATCAATGCTTTTTTCCCCTGGAGTTCTTCTTGTCTGGTTTATACTGATTATAGCTTATCCTGATGTGATGACCCATCTTCAGCAAGAAGGCTTCATTCATGAAAAACCCCTCATGAAAAGGCAATTGCCAATCTCCTTTTTAGTGTTGAGAGGGATCCTTTTCAGACAGAGGCATTTATGGGGGGTGATCTATTTCTTTGAATGGTGTGAAAAGCATGTTCAACTACCTTAGAGCTGATATTTTAGATCTAGCATGATCATCTTATTTTCTTTAGCTAAGTTGTCACTATCCTTGTCATCCCTTAATATTTTATTTTAATCTATATCTTCTATCTTTTATTATACTATAGCAGTGCTAGAATAGAACTTCTGTGTAGCCCTATCCCACTATATTCATCTTTAGTCCAGTAGGATTCAATGCTATCTAGGGGTCTGCAGCCTATTCAATGCTTAGGGACCAGTCTGCCAGGGGTCTAGTCTAGCTCAGAATGGAATATGAGAATACCCTAATAGGCTAGATCAGCCACATCACCTTAATTTCCTAAGTTGGAAGGTAATTATACAAGAGCTCATATGAAAATCCTTATAGAGAGTATTACAGGTCTGACTTTCTAAAGTGGCCTAAACAAGGAGATATAGTAGGATTAAAGTTGGTGTTCTATACTAGTAGTATAATCTAAAGATTGTATTGGATATCTATAATATATAAAACTAGTATAGAAGAGAAATATAGAATCAAATCAAAGTGATATATAATATATAAATCAGGTCTAGTAAATCCATATGGAATAGATCTAAGGATCAGAAATATATAGAGAGAGATAAAATAAAGATAAAGATATTTAATAGAGCTATACTATTATTTAATTCTCATAATAAATTAATTATACAAGATAGCAGAGAAATATATATAAGAAGCATAGCCACAACTAGTATCACTATTGATTAGGTTATATAAGAAAAAGCTATAGGAGACTCTAGGTTTAGATCCTTGAGCACCTACTAGGGTGATATATATAATCAATATCCCAAAAGAGAAGGATCAGGTAATATAGAGTGAGAATATAAGTTATAGTTCTAGAAATCAGTATAAGATTCTAAGGTCAAAATCTATCCTATTGACACTATGGGTTAATGGCATACTTATCTAGCCATCCCTAGAGCCTAAGCTAACTCCAAACCTATTAAATATCTAACTAAGCCTACTGTTAAATAATATTATTTATATAATCTCTCTGTATTGTATTATAGCTACCTTAGGTATATAAATATATTATGAACCTATAGAGAAATAAGATTAAGCCTTATAATATTAGTAGAAGGACTATTAGATATTAAATATATATTATATATCTCTATCACAAGTAATCTTATATCCAACTACTCAGATCCTAAGATTAAAATCTATTGTATTAAAGCTATAGATTAATGGCATACTTATGGCTTATATTCAAGCTAGAGCTCACTCTAAACTTATTTAATATCTATCTACACCTACTATCAAATAATACCACTTATATTATCCCTCTTTATTATATCAGAGCTATCCTACTCCTATATCTATAGGCCTTTAGAAATTTAGTAGATGATATATATGAAAGAGATACAAGTAGATAGAAATAGCTCAATAGAAGCTAGGAAATAAAAATATATTTATACTTAAGATAAACAGGATATATAATATATATAGTATTAGAGTAAAGAAGGATGAAAGTAAGATATATATTGAAAAGATAGGTGTATATATGTAGTCTTATAGTACAAGACAGGCTGTGATTCAGGAACTAAAGAGAGCTTCAGGTAGAATTATATCAGATTAGTAGAGAAGAGAAAATAATAAATAGAATAATAAAGGAAAAAAAGTAATAATATTCTTTAACTATCAAAGATAAGTGGTCCTACTTTGACTAACTAAATGAAATACTTCCTATATAGCAGAATAGAAGACTTAAACTAAGGGTCTTATATTATAGAGATATGCTTTGATTCTTCAAGAAAGAAAGGAAACTATCTAATAGGAAGGGATACTAATCTTAAATCTATAGTTAAATATAGAGATTGGCCCTCTACTATACTAATAGTATTATAAAGGGGGTGTATGTGTATTGTTCCCTGTGACAGGAACTAGGTTGTGATCAAGGGATCTCAAGGATAGATATACCAAGATGATGCTGCTATACCACATGGCACTGAATAATCTTAGCAAGAAAATGATACAACAATAAAAGGAAACACAATGATGAAGGAGCCTCACTCTGCTCTATATAATGATAATGATACCAGTGAAGCAACCTAGAAACCAAAAGAATGCTTTATTTCTTGTAACTATCTGGGAGGGAACCCTCCAATAAGTACTCCAGCCACGGGATCCACTATATATTAATATATTGGAGTCAGCAGTTCTACAGTGTTCTAAGATAGGAAATATGAGAGATCTGGGGTTTTGCAATGCCCCTGGCACAGTATGGTGGGAATTTGTATTTGCTATATCCCTGATACAATATTAGAAATAAAAGATGATAAATAAGATGATGAGACATAAAGAATAAGAAAAAGAAGTATTGAAGATTATATTCTAAAATATCATAAAATCTTTTAAAATCCTCTAGTCCTTCTGTCAACTCTCTATCTTCTAAAAGATTCTATCATATTCTATTCTAAAATCCTCTTTACCACTACTATGAGGCATGTCTCCTACTTTGCCATTCTTTGATTTCAAAGCAGACTATTTTAGAAAGGTTCAACTGTATTATAAATAGGCTTATCCTCTCTTTATATCTAATTATTCTTTAATTTGTGAATAATCTCTTAACTTATCTATACCTTGACAGGCATAACAAATTTAACTAATTTTATATTTTCTTTTACTATTTCTTATAACTAGAAGAATAGAGAGAGAGAATAAGATAAACAAGAAATAAAAAAAATTAAGAAAAGAAGCAAAAAGAAGAAATAGAGAAAAGGATATAAAAATAAGAGAATAATTAAAAAGAAGAATAAATCAAAATAGAAAAGTGATTACTAAGTCATATTCCAGACATGGCGGTAGGTACCTCCACATAGAAAAATAAGGTTTCAGAGGTGGGTCCAGACTTACCGCCAACATTGATTTTGGCCCTAGGTCTAGCTCCCTAACTAGGCCATATTAGGAAGTGAGACTAGTATCATAGTGATCCTGATCAAGTCTAGTTTCTGCTAGTGCTGTTGGATTGCTGACATAAGCAGTTTTAAATATACCCTATACCAAATAGGGTAATATTATGGCCAATGCTATTACAGGCTATGTAGGGGTCCAATTGCTCAGAATTAAATATGATGATATCATGGAGGTCTAGAAGGTGCACGTGACTTCAATTTCCTAATTAGGAAGGTAGTCATATAATAGCTTAGACGAAAGTACTCATTGAGAGCATTACAATGAACATGGTCTGATATTCTGAAGTGGCCTAGAAAAGGCGATATAGAGGTGTAAAATTAGAAATTCCAATGTAGTAAAGTAGAAATGGTCTTTTATACTAATTTATAGATCAGATAAGATCAATAAAGTATGTATGTATAACAGTAAAATAGTAGGATAGGCTAGAACAGCTAAGAGAGAATAAGGTAAAAAGTATATATATATAGAGAAGAAGTATGTAGAAATATAAATATAAAGATAGTGGATATAGTAGTATATAGATATAGATAGCTAATAGAAAAGAGATAAGCTAATATAGCTAAATAAAAATAAAATGAGAAATATATATAGATAAGATAGATCAGCTAAAACAGCTAAGGGGAAATAAGATGAAGAGTATATAGAGAAGATAATAGATATATAGTGTTTAGAGAGAATAGAAAGTAAGCTTAAATAGAAAGATAGTAAAAAGAAATTTAAATAAAAATAATTTAAAAAAAATCAGTATATAAGATAAAAATAATAAAAATAATAAAAATAAAAAAGAAATTAAGTTATTTTAAATAATAAAAAAGGCTAAGAATAAAATAGTAGTGTATATATATATATAAATATAATATAGAGTGAGATAGTATAGGAATTAAGTATAATAAAAAAGAAAGAAAATTAGGAATGATTAAGAAAGATTAAAGAAATAATATGAGAGAGAGATAAAATGGTTAGGGTTAAGAATAGGATATATATGAGAAATAAAATATAAAAAAGATGATTTTTTATAATTAAAGAAGGAAGTGGTTAGGGATAATAATATTAAGTGATATTAGAGAAGATGTGTATAAGAATAAAATAATTAAAAAATGAAGAAAAATAATAGGAGAATAGAGAGAGAAGGGGGTATTAAAGATAGAAATTATAGGGATTTTTAAAAGAAAAATAAATAAAAAGAGAATTATTATATTAAAAAGAGAGTGGTTAGGGATAAGAATAATAAAAAAAGATTAAAATAAAGGAAATTATTATATGGTAAGAGAGACAGAGATATATATAGAAATAAGAGAATAAAAG